AAAAATACAAAAATTAGCTGGGTGTGGTGGCGTGCGCCTGTAGTCCCAGCTACTTGGGAGGCTGAGGCAGGAGGTGGAGGTTGCAGTGAGCCGAAGTCGTGCCAATGGACTCCAGTCTGGTGCCTGGCAACAGAGTGAGACTGTCTCAAAATTAAATAAATAAATAAAATAAAATCATACAAAGAATGAGGGATGGAAGGGAATAAGAACTCAGAAATCCAGTCACCAATGACAACCCTATCTCTCGCTTCTTTTTTTTTTTAAGACAGAGTCTTGCTCTGTTGCCCAGGCTGGAGTGCAATGGCGCCATCTCAGCTCACTGCAACCTCTGCCTCCTGGTTTCAAGTGACTGATTCTCCCTGCCTCAGCCTGCTGAGTAGCTGCGATTACAGGTACCCACCACCACAACGGCTAATTTTTGTATTTTTAGTAGAGACAGCGTTCCGCCATGTTGGCCAGGCTGGTCTCAAACTCCTGACCTCAGGTGGTCCTCCTGCCTCAGCCTCTCAAAGTGCTGGGACTACAGACATGAGCCACCTCACCCAGCCGGCAACCCTATTTCAATTTTTCCATCCCACCACTTAAAGGATACTGTGACTATACATAAAATTAAAGAATAAAAGCAGCTTAACATAAATAAGCCTCTAGGGTCGCCTCAGACCACTGATCTTCTCTCCAAAGCCAGTGCATCATCCCAACAAACAAGCAAATTTAACAAGGCCAAGGAGAAGGGCTCTAGGGTTCCTTCCTCCCTGGTGCTGCTGCTTCCTCTCTCCAGCAACAGCTCGTGGCATCGCTGTTTTCTCCAGAGTACATGAAAGGGCTCTCTAGAGAGGCATGCCAGGCTGTGGGCAATTTCCCCTTCCCAGAGCACCATCACTAACACAAATAGAAACTAGGAAAGGAAAAGGGTATTAAGCTCTCCTAAGAAGGTTGGCTTTCCAGAGATGATGGCAATAAAAACAGTTTCTTGGTAATATCCCTTCTAATAAACTGGTAAACATTAAAGAAAACAAAAAAAGAATACTTTTTTCTCTAAGACCTGGACTATTTTAGTAGCCCCTTATAGCCCTTACCTTCCATTCTTATAAGCTATGCTTCAACTTAATTCAACATACCTTTGAGTACCTGTTACATGCTAAGGCCTTGTGTTAAGAAGCCCAGTTACAGAAAAAAATAAGACAAGAAACTTACTCTCAAGTGTAATCATGTGTGTTTGTGTTCATGATGTAACATGACAGGTAATAATAACAAACAAGAGGATATCTAAGCTGTGATTTGAAAGATAAATGGTAAGGAAAAGGGACCAAACATTCTCAGATAGGGAGAACACCAATCTAGTAAGATACTTAAGGAACTGCAAGTAGTTTGATAAAACTGAAATATATATTAAAAAAAAAAAAAAGGGAGGGAATCAGTGTTGGGAGAGAGGCAGGAGCCAGATCATGAAGGGCCTTTTATAACAGGGGGGAATGGGATTTCATCCTGCAGA